CCATTTTTATTGCGGAAAGCACAAGCAGAGCTTGATGCTCTGATTATTGCGGTTTCAAGAATTTCAACTGATTCTAATTATTTGTCTTCTTCGCGTTTGTTTAATTACTGTTACTTTTTGCATAATCCAGGCATATTTAGAGAAATGCATATTAGAAACTACCCAATTGTGGAACATACACAAGCGTATGTGTTGTCCCGTGACGTGCAAAAAGTATTGCGCTTTACGCAAGAAATACGGCGCAAAATTAAAACGACAAGCACCTTTTGCACCTAAATTTCATCATGACTGAAGTCTTAAATGGGATATGTTGCAAAACAAAACTGAAATCCAGGCATTTTTGTCAAACAAAATATAAATATTTATTAAAGAAGTCATGACAGTCTATTGACTGAGATACGGTACTTGCCGTGTGCTTGTTTTATATATCAAACACTCTCCAATCGCTTCTCAACGCTGTTTAGGGTTAGTATTACAAGTAGTACTTGTTTAAATGTAATGTGTAGTAACGGAGGACGAATGGTGTTTGCACAAGGTTAGGGGTATGCAAATAATCAAGTTTCGATTTTGAATTGAATAATGATTGCCCGAATAATTCGATTCGACTTTTGGTTCCCAATAGTAAAATTTTCTAATAATTCGATTCATCCAATATCAGTAATGTATGCGAAGATTCGGGTTTATTTAGGCTCACTATTGCTTTAGTGAACCAATACTCCCAGGACTGTCCTTTGTCTATAAAAAGGCTGCATTAGTAAACCTTGCATTTCGAAAAAATAACATTTGTTCATTGCGTTCCTCTTAAACATCTTTGAAAGAAATATGTCTGGTTAAGAGGGTAATAGCGTGACAGAAATTCGAAACTCTATTCAAACTTTAATAAACAAAACTTCCCGCCGTTTTGGAACCATTTTGAACCCTTGGCCACGGGTGACTGTGCTTTGGACGGAGGAGGAAGTCGCTTTTGTAGGATGGATTTGATTGCTGCGTTCGGGTTTTTCCACGAAGCGACGGAGCCCTCAGATAAACGTAGACGCTTGAGAGAGTGCCCGGCGACCAGTTTATGTTATCTTTCGTTGTCTGAATGTACCAGGATTCTAGGTGCAGATGTTTACGACAGTGTCGATCCGTGTCCAGGATCTCGCTTTTGTGGAAGGACACGCTGTGACCCAGTTTTGCTGCATGTTCAGCAGGGGCACGGTCTTGGACGTCTTTCTTCTTCACGTCGCATTTGTGGCGGCGGAAGCGTTCCGGGAACTTCTTTGTTTCCCCCACGTAGACGGCAGGGCAGTCCACGCACGGGATGCGATATATGAAGCCCTTGGACTTCTCATTACCCGGTCTTTCCTTAGAGAGGGGAAGTCGGTGACGGATGGTTTCCGATTGTTTTGTGAGTGACCGCCATGCCATGTTTTCGAAAGACACGTCCGCTGGTCTCGATGACATTTCTCACGTATGGCAGGCACAGACGTTTTGAAGAAACCCCGACCGGAAAAGAGACGGCGACGGCGCAGCTTCCTGTAGACTCGGTTAATGAATCTATTGGTGTAGACATTTTTTTTAAGATGGGCCTTGATCTTGATGGCCTCCTCTGTTAGAGACTGGTCCGTCGAGCACAGATACATGGCACGTCTAAACAGTGTAGTGACAAACGACATCTTGTGGCTTGTGGGTTGATAAGAGTATAAGTTCAAGTAGCTTTCGGTATGCGTAGGCTTCCTGTACGCCGACAAGGTAAACTTGTCAGGAGACTTCACACTGATGTCCAAAACGGAACTACATCGTTTTTCTCGCGTTGCACCGCGCACTGAAGAGCAGGTTCGACGAGTTTTAAGTTTTGACAAAGACTGGACTTAAGTGTCTTAATGACAGAAAGGCAGTCGTCCACAAAAAAAAAAAAAGGTTTTAGGCTTCGGCACAAACCTAGCAAGGGCTTGCTACTCAATATGTTCCGTGATGAGGTTGACCATGGTGACCGAGATCGCTGCTCCCGTAGCTGTGTCGCTTGTCGGCTTGAAGGGAAGCCTATCGAACGAGAAGTAGGTGCTTGTGAGATACAGATCCAATAGGCGGCTAATCTCGTCAACGGAGAAACAGGTTCGGTCTGCTGGACTCGTGTCCAACAGCGGCACACAAACGCTGGTAAAAACCGACACAACGTCGAACGAAACAAGAGCCTCGATTGTCGGCGTGAATTTCAAGTCTCTTGACGAGGCGACGAAATTAGTTAAGTTCATTACGTACGTAAGTGGGATTATGACCGGTGAGCGGGTACATCAGCTGGTGCAGGTACGTCGACACAAATCGAAAAGTAATTATGGTGAAATCAAGAATGGGCGGAGGGACAAACCGGGCTTGTGCATCTTGGGAATGCCGTAAAGGGATGGGGCAAGCCCATTTCGGCATATCAGCTTGAGGTGGCGACCAGGTGTGTCTGGTTGTGTCTAGAAAATGATGGAGAGTGTATTGTTGACAGTCACCTACAGCTTTTCAGTCCGGCCCTTTCCCACGGGCGTGTAAGTATGGGTGAAACGAAGTGCCATCACTTTCTTTTTGTACTCACATTTGTCGAAAAAAAGTGTGGACTTCCCTTGTCTGCCGGAAAAACCAGAATGTAGTCGTCCTCTTTCGGAGTTCGCAAGGCGTTGTGTTCAATGGATAATATGTCCTCTTCTCGCCGACGACCTCGCGCGATGATGTCAATTGTTTTAGACGTACTTCTCGGAGGGCAGGCTTCAGTTGACAAATGCCATAGCGGCCGCCATCATGGGGATTGGGGGCTTGGTTGTAGTGGTGTTGGAACCATGTCACTTGGCCAGCAAGGAAGAATTTGTCGACGAGAGCGCCCTCCGAGAATGTTTGCGTGCGAAGCACTAGTAGTACTGAAAGACGGATGACGATGCCCTGTGGTTAAGAGACGTGCTCTTCCGCTGGTGTCCAGGGTTTGCCATATGTACCGTGGCAGTAGCCAGTGTGGATATGGCAAAATTTTAAAGTGCCTGAAATACCTCAACTATATTGAATTTCAATTATCTGCGCGCGAAGAACAGGTAAAGTTCCTTCTGCCATAGAGTTTCCCTGCATTCGTGGAGGCCGGTGTTGAGTAGGCGACGTTCAGCCTGGTCGATGAACTTGTTTCCCTCGGGCTATTGCACCAGCAGTTTTAGGCGTAAGCTTTCCGAGATCAGGCCGAGTTCCTTCTGGGTCTTGTTGAAGGTGGAGTGGGTCTTGAAATTGGCCGTGGTACGCCTTGGTTATATCAACCTTTTAGCGAGCTGAGAAGCGTCCGAACCATAATCACCGTATAAAGATTTGAACGTAAACGTATAAGACAGAAATATTTTTGGTTATGAAAATATTGAAGTGGCTGAAAATTTAAACTTAAACCAATGTCTGATAAGACCGAAATTTCCTGACTTGTCGGGACCAGCTCGCTCCTTTGGACACTGGTGACTGTGAACTTCCCAGAACGCTTCCGCTGCCAGAAATACGGCTTGATTACGAACGACATCTAAGCCTGTGCCCTCGCTGAACACGCAGCAAAATTTGGTCACAGCATGTCCTTTGACAAAAGCGAGATCCTCGACATGCAACGAATCTGGCTCAAACGCTCGAACATAGAATCCTGGTGCATCCAGACAACAAAATATAACACCAACAGGTCGTCCGGCACTTTCCGAAGCGCCTATCTGTCAGGGTTTTTGGGCTTCCTGGAAAAACACAGTCGCAGCAATCACAACCGGCCTACATAAGCGGCTCCCTCCTGCGTCAAACCTAAAGTCAACAGGGACCCATGGACCGAACTGGTCTCGACACTTCGGAACATTTCGTTTTAATTAAACTTAGGTTGCGTTTTAAAATTTCTGTCAGTCTTTTGTGTTCCTCGCATGAAGCGATCAGGTTTTGAGCTCGGATGCGCTAGGAAAACAGCCGCGAACCCCGCAAGCCGCCAATTTGAAATCAAGCGTTTCGTGTTACTTGTATCTAGCTTTATACAATATAAACCTATTATCGGTTGTTACGTTCGTTGTGGCAAATTATTATAGAAATACCAATAGCCTCATTAATTAACCGTTCTCTTCGCTAAGCCATCGGTGGCGTCGAGCGTAATGTTAGGGTTGCCAGGTGGCGGAAGATGTCGCCCAGTTTAAGAGCTTCAGCCACATCCATCCATTTATATAGCACACCGTGCATCCACGCGTGGATGAGTGGCACACTCGCTGGATGAAGCTTTAGTTCGACCCTTTTTGTGGTGACGTTTTTTATCCGTGGTGACCTTTTTGTTTTTGGTGCCCTATATGATAATAAACTGTGCACATGTATGCTCTAATATAAACGCTGGTATGCTAAGAGTCCTTATCTAATGTTACCAATAGTGTTTTTAGAGTGCAGCTCTTAGGCGCCCGTTTCCGGCTTGAGCGGCGTCGGCGTCGACGTCGCCGTCGGCGTCGGCGTAACCACGGAGGGAATTGTGGGAAATGTTCCATAATGCACCACGCGGGACCCTTGTGACGTCACGAGGGTCCCGCGCGGTGCATTATGGGATATCTACCATAATGCACCGCGCAGGGAGTACCCTCCCCTTGCTCCTCCCTCTACTCATCGCCGCGCGCTGCATTATGGGAAATGTCCAATAAAGCACTGCGCGGGGAGGGGGAGGGGGAGGGGAGGAGGAGAGAAAGGCCGAAAAAGGGAAGGGGAAAAGAGTGGGAGGAGGAGGGGGAAGACGGAAGGACGAGGAGGTAGGAGGAGGGGAGCAGGAGGACGAGGGGGAGAAAAAGGCGGAGGTAGAGGTGGGAGAAGGAGTAGCAGGGAGGATGAGGAGGAGGAGCAAGGAGGGGCATACCCTCCCCTCAATACCCTTCCCTTTCCTCGTCAAGAGCTGCGCTCGAATCCGGCGTTAGAGGGTGTTGTAAACATTTAATTTTTTATCATTTTTGTTTTATTCGACATTCGACTTTTAGGCGTCTATTTGGCACTATTGTTTTAATTACTTTGCTATGAAAATTTACTCTTTGTACAAAACTTCAGCGTGATTTAGTCGATTTCATGTATGCTGGAGTAATTGACACCGCTTAGAAGTACAGTGTAAAGTTTTAATTTTGTTTACTTATTTGCAGAAGCTACCCGGCGCCTGGAATCTTTGACGACGTCGACCTTCAAATATTGGACAATATACTCTGGAGCTACGACCGTAGGATTACACCAAGCCATCATCTAAGTAAGCTGCGAAAGCTTTCCTTCGAGTGCCAGTCGATAATACTTTGATTCACTCGAAACTAACATTTGTAAAGAAAGTGAATGTTAGACCCGGTATATAGAATCGGAAAAGGTGAGAAAGTCTCGTTTATTTACAGTTTAATAATAACATAAAATAGACATTTGGCAAAACATAGACATGTGTCTCTCGTAGATAAGAAAAAAAAATGGCTTGTGCCCTATGACTTTGGTTTCTGCAGTCATGTCTCGTTAAGATGTATCCCATTAATATGTATACCCCCTATATGTACACCATATTTTGGTACAAACAGGGAAAAATAATGCATTTTTGTCTCGTTAGTATGGACAACTCACATTATGGACAATTTTTTTTACGGGAACAGAGCTGCCCATAATAACGAGACATGACTGTATAACTATGGTGTGTCAGGTTGTTGTCAAATCAAATAAATGTTTAAAAATAAGGTGTAGCGGAATACAGACATTAAGAAATTAACTTATTAATTGCAATATACTTAATTGTATAAATAAATATTTGACAATATAGAAAGGAAGTAACCAGAATTTAAATGATAATAGTAAGGTCCAATTTGACCTATCTACAGTGTGTATGATATGCGGGGCGAACAATTTTCGACATACATCTTATTTTTGCGGCATTTGTATCATATTTCAGATGTTGTGTTTGATGGTAATATTATATTTGCAAATATAAGACAATATTAGAACTGACCGATTAATCAAGTTTTACTTCCGAACTGCTAAATCGTTATTAATCATCTTCCTACCTTACCTTTACAAGCTATCAACGCCAATGAGAGAAGTGTAAAAATCAAAGTTAGGAATATACCTTTAGGTAAATAAAAATATCATAAATTCGGTACACTTCATTTACTTTTTTGTATAAATTCTTACCCCCACGCCCTTTTCTTTTTTTAAATAAAAAGTCGTTTTTCTAAAATAATACTAGTTTAAGGGACCGTCATCTATTCACCACAGTATTTAAATGCGTAACATAACAAAATGAACACTCTATACAGATGGTTGCGATCTTAATCGCGATGCTGTATAGTTCATAAAAACGTAACTTAAATATGCTCAACTAATTTTTATGAGTGCCAGTATCTAGTATATTTTGACAACAAGCCCGTGCCTAAAAACACAGAAATTGCATAAAGTGCTGTAATTAAATGTCCTGTTGATCAACGTGAGGAGTAAATCCCGATTAGCGTTCATATTTAGGCAAACAAGTTCCAAAAATATAGTAAATTACAACTTAAAGAGTTACTGCAAAGAAGAAAAATGTTTTTTTTTAAACAGCCTAAATAATACATGCTTGTTGCAAGACAATTTTTCTGTGGAAAAAAATATAATTTTTATATCAATATTTATTGCGGGAGTCTGATTTTAGTTTTCGCCTAATCCGTCCGTCTTAAGTCGCGCGCCGCAAAGTTGGTATTATACTTCACGGAGTGACTTGCGATAGCAACGATTTACGAACAGTTTAGATCTGGGTTGTTAAACCTATGTGGTAGCGTGTATTTTTGTTTCGAGCAGCATATTTTTACGTTTAAAGAATGACCCATGTAATGAGAGTTATAATTCTTTACAAAAGGTGTACAAGACGGGCACTTCCATTTGGATCAATACCATAACTAAAGAAAAGAATGGCCTCCGCTGTCTGCTGCAGCCTGTCTTGCCTACCTCGACTAGTCGTGTCGCCTAAGTGATAGTGTTTCCGGTTCACCCAGATGCTCGAGTAAGAATTTATGAAGTGATGTAGTGTTTGTTTAGCAGCTATCTTAGGTGTTAGTGATAACAAGCGACGCAGGGGCTTTCAGATCGCAGTATGTTACTTCCGTTTTTTTAAGGTGTTATCTTTTCTTTCGTAGCGCAATTTCTTTAATTTCTCAGCGTGTGTTGTTCTTTTTTTTTGTTTTTTTGTTTTTTTTTGCTGGCGCTTGGAATCGCCGACTTTTTGGAGATGTAAGCTCCTGTTAAGCGGTGCCGTTGCTCTGTGAAGTGCTGCCCAATTTGTGGTAGCGACAGCGAGTCTTCAAGCCTTCTATGTCGCCCTGAAAGATGGCAAGCTGAATGTTATTTGTTTGTACGCAATCGGGCGTTTGCGTAGCTAAAAACGTGTCGAGGTGTGTGCTCGTCATTTTGCTCCTGAGGAGTTCGAGATTCGCACCGGGTGCACCGAATGTCCGCGAATGAGAACATGGGCGGTCCCGACGCTTTTCCTACCAAGTGCGCTGCAGCCTCGGGAGGCTTAGCTCATGCGCCGTCTTCGTTGCTGGCAGCCGTGCACCACTGCGTATTTTCGTATGGGCGAAGACCCAGTTGGCTCACTGCGGCCAAGAAGCTGACGCTTCAATTCAGGGTCCAATTGGCGCGCAGTTCGCACACAACGCAGAAGTTACAAAAGGCTCTGGCACGCGCACAAGACGCATCGGGACTTGAGACTGCTGCGTACGTCGTTGAACTCCAAAGTCAAGTCAATCCAAGAGCAAATGTAAGAGCGAGGGTCAGGCCGTACTTCTACCCGCAGGTCGAAAGAACAGGAGTTTCAAATGGGGAGAGGTTGCGACTCTGACTAAATTACGTCCAGTGGAGTAAATATTGCAAAAAAAAAAGTTTTTCTGGCGGTAGATTTGTTTTGTGACATGTTTGTATCGGTTAAGCTGTTTAAAAAAAAACGTTTTTTTTTTCGTTGCAGTTACTCTAAAAAAATCAATGGATGGCTTAATATGTTGACGCTCATTTGTTTGTGATTCGTTCTTCTGGCATCTTTTTTGTCGAATACCTTAAACGCATTGCCAGCAGAGCTCTAATGGGAGGCTCAGCACTGGGAAGTTCTTGCGCTTTTACCTTGGATAATCTACCGGCCGTAACGGACAGACCTCTGCCTAGTTCTAGAAAATCTTGAAAGTAGTGAACTATCTTTGCAGACTTTAGGAAACGTTGGACTTGTTAACTACTGTATCTTTAAGACAAAAATATTTTATAAAGCTTTTAAATTATTACGTTTTTCCTCTTGTGGTCCTGAATTTTCTCCGGGACTAAACATTACCTCGGCATGGCACATCCTTGGCCACAAACGACATCAAGCACGGTGTAAAGATCAGTTCAGAACAGGAGCCACTTCGCGCTGCCAAACCGCCAAACGGCCAAACCGCAAGCCAAACTTGCTCGCCGATGGCCTTCAAAACGCACATAACCGGTCGGATCCTCCAGCCCATACGACTACAGTGCCGCCGCGTACATCCGGGTCATTTCCGCGTCGGCGCCTGATCCCACTATCCTTTCTAGTTTGCGCCGCCTTTTCCACCTCTTGGTGGCGGGTATGTTGACCGGACAATTCTTGTTTCCGTAAATTCTAAACTGCATTTCTTTCTTTTCTGCTCTAAAATATTTAACAAAAACTACTTTCACAATTAAAGCAAACGGTTCGCGGCACTTATATTTTGCATTTTGACTAAAAAAATATTTTAGCGGCTCTGACCAGTCGTAAGCCAGGCACAACAATGTCACAATGTCGTCCCATGCTGTGCGCGTTCGGCACCACGGGGCGCCCCCGTAGGCAGAGGAGGCTTTCGCGTCGTCCGCTTAAAAAATGACGAACTTATATTTAGTTATTTTCTCCGTGTCCGCTGTGTTGTCCGAATCACAAGAGGTGTGGTATCCGAAAAAAAGGTGGACGCTTAAATAGGATTGCACAGCCCCTTTAATAGGAATCAAAGAGTTCTTTAGTAGACAACGCGAGGTCCATTTTTGTATGTTTTGTTTATTATAAGACATGTTCACCACACACCACGGTGTAAAATTATGATTTATGTGCGATATAAGTGGAATACAGTTATTTAGGTTTGATTATTTCTGTACATACAGTCAAAAAGTTTGTTATAAAAACAGAAATTATATCTCCCGAATAACAATTTGGTTAATATAGCACTTTCCATTGTTGCGAATTCCAGCAAGGCTAAAGCAAGAGTTTTTAAACTATTTAATTGAATTATTTTTTTCGACTTCATGGTGGTGTAGAAGAAAGCTGGATACAAAGCAGGGGAAGTGTAGCCTGAAAATCCCGTCCCTCTATAAACATATGGTGGCTCTGTGAGCACGTACACAAGTCCAGGAGCTAAATTAAGCATATCCTTTCTCTAAATATGCTAATATAATATTATGATTTGTGTTCATTGAAACTGCTGTAGTATTTTCTTCTGAAAGCACTTCTTAGATTGATCACATCGGACACGTCCGGACTAAACGTTCAGAAATGGAATGCGTAATAAGTACTTTAGCAGGCGCAATATTTTTAATATTCGCAACAAAGATCGCCGTTATAAATCACAATTCTATACAAACAAATGCTATGGTCTTGAACTATGGAGATATACTGGTTTAAGCAATATAAATAATTTAAGAGTGCTGAAGAAAAAAAAAACAATCGAGAAGAAAGCTAATAACCCTTCGATTTCCCAATCCTTGCCTGTTTCCAAAATGCTCCGTCATTGCTGTATAGCATATCTATTTATAACTTATAATAGTAATGTACGATTTGGTCTTATAAGCTGCGTTCTAAACCTTCCTGACGCTAGATCACCATAATTTACACACTCTAAATAATAATAATGTTCCAGGCATGCTAATACAGCCGAAAGTAAGGTTCAATAGGCGTCTAGTGTTTCAGCTGTAGACAAAATATTTAGCCAGTGCAGTACAACCACCTACTTGGGGTATTTAACGTGCACCACACAGTAGTGATACACGACCACAAGACTACGATGCGCATCCAAATCAAAGCGGGCAAGGGTGGAGATTGAACAAAACTTCCTGGGCCCTGGGGTGCTTGCTATGAATCCACGAGCATCGATCTAGTTTGCGCTGCCTTTATCGGTCACAAACCCCCGTGTTATTTTAAGGAATCAGTCATTTAAGCTAAATTCATGGCGTATTTATTTTGTTGCAATCATTTAAATGGCAGTCATATCAGATAAA